CAATGGCTTCAATCTGGTGAATATAAATTATATTTGATGTTCATATGGTAATCTTTTTATTTTATAGTAAGAATTTATTTGCATTGTATTATATTGTACCAACTGAATATTCCATAAAGGCGTACTGTTTATATTTGTTATAAGTTTCAAATTTTAATTTAGATTTATTGCTTTATTTTATTAATTTTGCCACCAGCGGCTGAGCGCTGAACACTGGTATTTCGGTCCGAGGTTCGAAACCCACGAACGGGCTGGCTGTTTTCGTGGTTTTCCCCATGTGTAAAGTGTATATGAGCCAGCTCCCCTAAGAAAGTCTTCCACGAAGGCATTCCTTCCTTTAGGCAGATAGCCTTCGCCATAATTGAATAATCCAATCCATCAAGTACAGTAAGGCCATCAACGGCTGTAAACTGTTAAGTGGTTTAAACCGCTGAAAACAGGTAGTTCAGTTATGTTTAAAATCTCTCGAACTTGGCTGGCTGCTTGAGTTTCCGTGATTTTTTCCTTGAAATCAGATTAATTTCTCTTACAACATCTACAAATGTGTTCATTCCTTTAGGGTGGTAGCCCTAGCATGCTTAACCATAATCCCATTTTAATAACAAAAAGGTGCTGTAGCATCATGGTAAATTTGTCATTCAAAATATTCCATTTAGTTGCCATTCATATGATTTTTGGTTGTTCATGCTAAGTGGATAAAACAAAATGGCACATAAGATTTCCTTTTGCATTGGACTGAATCAATTATTTATGGCAACACACGGAAGTGTTATTTGCTTAAAACAGAACACCATTATGTGAGAATATTTTGTAGATCAGTTCGTAGTCGTTAATATAGGTTTTGAAATGACTCAGTGGTGTTGCTAAGAAGTGATTAAACATGCAACAGGTGAAAACAAACAAGACACTTGAAATTTGCCAATTTAATTCGGTCCTGGATTGGCAAATATCTTTAGAAACATACAACCCATCCATTGCATAGAAAATTTTTGTTCTGAATTCTGATTAAGAGCAAATATACACAAAAATCAAACTGAAATGAAGCGACAAAAAATTCATTAAGAAAAAAGGGGATGGCGAAACTGTAAGCAGTTAAATCCAGATAGAGTAATAGTGAAGTTCAATGTTGGCTAGTAAAGAATTATAGGAAAGACCTTACAGCAGATATCATGAGCGCTACTAGTGAATTCAGAAAAATAAAATGTTTAAATGCAACAGTGTAAGAGACTGAACCCATGATTAAATATTTAGTTTTCAAATATTTCCTAACTTGAATAACAAAGCATTTAATTAGATTTCAAATATAATAGATAAAAGAAGTACTTTTACTAAACCATTAACATAACCTTCTCAAAACAAACATCATAGTCTATCTTTCGGTATTACCAAGGTGAGCACATAGGTTGGGGATGGCTAATCTTTTTTCTATTAGTGTGGCCAATTAAATTACGGTTTATTGTTTTCATGTGTCTAGTGTGCTACTTATTAAGGTGCGTACACAAGACTACACTAGCGACATAAATGACACGATGAAAAGCACGTTGCCGGCGAAAAGTCGTCCAGGGAGGGACACTAGCAAAGTGTATGCTTAGCCAATAGAATTATTGAAGAGAAAAAAATCATGTGGCACTCATAGAAGGCTACACGTTTAAAGTGTTTCATAGTCTAGTCCAGGGATGGGCAAACTACGGCCCGACGGAAGGTTCTATCCGGCCCGCGGATAGAACAAGGCAAATTAAAAGAAATATATATTTATATACCCATCTCCTTTTCTACTTTGTTTAAATATATATTTTGTCCTTTTTTTAAAGGATTGATTATCCTTTTACTTTCTCTATTTTTGTTCTACAAAACATAAATCGACGGCAATAGCAAGCACAAACAGCTTTCCATTAGTAAAGTGTTAAAATCGGAAGTTCTTTGTCAGTTATAGCTTAGATTGGCGCCAACAAGCGTTATCTCTTTCTCGGGGAGCAGACGTATGAGAATCCAGTACTGTAGGTGAATTAGACCTCAAATGTGGCAGACAGCGCATTTTAAGATCCACCCAGAGGATTTTTCTTCTGACGTGAGTTCTAATATTATTGATTGCGTGCATATAGCATCATTATGAATAGTGGTGAAATTATTAAATGCATAACGTAAATTAATGCTTGTTTGAGTTATTCGAAAATATTTCAACCTCAAAAAGGTTACTAAAACGTAATGTTGATTAAGAGTGCCGTACTTTTAATGATGAATGGAGCTGGAAATATTTTGTTAAAGTTGTAAGACATAAATCAGTGTGTCTCACCTGCAATGAAGCTGTAGCAGTCTTCAAAGAATATAACATTTTCCGACATTTCACATTTAAACATAAGAATTTTAATTACGAAGCGATGTCTGAATATGGAAGGAAACAAAATGCAGGCCGTCTTTGTAAAAAATTATCAGGCCGACAAAATTTTTTCAAGGTAAACAGTATCCAAGAAGCAGCTACACATGCAAGCTACATTGTAATATAAACAATATTGCTAAAAATAATAAAGCTCTCAGTGATAAGGAGTTCATTAAACAATGCATGCTTTAAGTTTGTGATGTTTTATGTCCAGACAAGAAAAATAATTTTGAGACTGTAAGTTTATCTTAAAAAATTGTGACTTCTGGAATCAAAGACATCGATAAAAATTTGACATCACAAAAAGTCAAAGATTGGCCAGTTTAAATTTTGCTCCATAGCTATGCATGAAAGCACTGATATAAATGATACTGCTCGATTAGTAAAAGAGGTGTTGATGAGAACTTTGAAATTACTGAGGAACTGGCATGCATGCGTTCTTTAAAGGGAGCTACAGCAGGAAGTGATATTTTTCGTGACATTCAGGAAGGGCTTTTAACTTTGAAAGTGCCTTTAACATATATATGTAATATTACGACCAATAGAACACCAAATATGAAAAAAAAAAAAAAAAAAAAAAAAAAAAAAAAAAAAAAATCGATTTCTTGGACTATTTAATCAAAACTATCCTGGGACCAATGTTTTTCTATACTGTGTTATACATCAAGATGCTGTGTAAATCTGCATTGAATATGAAACCCGTACTCAATGCAGTCGTGAAACTTGTATATACTATTTGCTCTTGGGGGCTTACTTACAGGCAATTTTGAGATTTTCTTCAGTCCATGCAATCTGAATACTCTGATGTACTGTATTACATGAAAGTAAGGTAGCTTAGTGCAGGGTATGTTTTTGAGCGAGTTTGGCAGCTGAAAGACAACATTGTGCCGTTCTTCCATGAGAAACAGTGTTCTGCAGAGTGCGAAATGTTGGAAGATATAGAATGGCTTTCAAGCTTTGCATGTTTCACAAATTTTCTTTGCCATATCAGCAATCTGAATGTCAAGATGTAAGGGAAAAATCAATTTATCAATGATATCTGGGCCTATCTCAAAGCTTTTAAACTAAAACTTAATCTATCTGCTGGCCAGCTAGCTAAGAATGATTTGTCTCATTTCCCGGGGTTCAATTCAATACCCCCAGTAAATGAGAGAAGGCTTAAGAATTATTAAACTGCATTTTGAGTTCGAAAGCAGATTTCATGATTTCAGTGCCATTCAAACAGAATTGGATATTTTTGCCATGCCTTTCAATGTAAATTGTGAAGCAGTGAGGTCAGATTTGCAGCTTGAATTAATTGAGTTGCAATCTAACAATCATATTAAGCAGTTGTTTGTAAATATGCCAAAGTTAAGAGTTTTACAATTTATGGAAAGCAAGTTTCCCAAATTTAATATCTCAGGCCCAGAAAATCAGTGCTATGTTTGCTTCATCTCAGATATACGGACAAGTGTTTTCAACTACGAACCTCAGAAAGAATTATTTCAGAAGTAGAATGACAGATGAGCATTTAACCTCATTCCTTAGAATCAGTACATCTCACTTCGAACCTCAATTTAAGGAACTTTTAAAAATGAAATCCCAATGTCATTCATCTCATTAACATATTTAAATTGTAATAGTTGTATATTGTTTTCACAATCTTAGAAAAATTTATCTTGGGCCGCCAAACTTTTTTTTTCCCAATTTTTGTCCTGCGACCAAAAAAGTTTGCCCATCCCTGGTCTATTCAGAAGAATATCACAGTCGGTTCGTTTTATACTGAAATGTTGTTTATTAATCAATTTCACAACTCGGATAGAATGATTAAACAGTTATTACACTCACAAATCAGTTTTATACAAATTAAGATTTATAAAATTGTTTTTGGTTGTTAATATTTATATTATAAAAAATTTAAATTTATAAAACAGTTACATAAAGAGAATTAAATGACTCAAAACACCATCCACTATACAATAAAATCAAGTTGATATTTTTTAATCTTTCCCCTCTCAAATAGCTTTCTTGTTTATGTGTGGTGTGGGAGTAAGTGTAAGAGAATCTGTGTTATAAGCAAAGTGTCCTATAACTTGATTATTCTTCATATATTATTACACAAATAAATTACAAGAAAAAATAAATAATATAAATAATTTTAAAATTTCAGTGAAATGGCTGGCTGGTTTAGACTTTTCATGGTTTTCCCAAATATAACTTGAATATCAGCCAATTTTTCCCAGAAAGTTTGCCATGAAGGTATTTCACGAGTAAACAGCCTAGTGGTGTGCTCCACTATAATCTAATAAATCCAAATCCTATACAATATATTATATTATTAATATTAAGACTATTTTTGCTATAAAAATTAAGATTTGGTTACAGTCAGACGACATGTTACATCGAGCATTAAATTAAATACGAAAGAGACTACAAATGAGTTTGAAAAAAAAAAAAAAAAAAAAAAAAAAAAAAAAAATAAATTTGTAATGATTCACTTAATAATGCAGAGCAATTTTAAAACATGAACTGGAAACAAAACAGAATTTTCTTTGAGTAAAGATGATTGGTTTGGTGAAAATTTTACTCATTAGTCACTTAGAAATCTTGTTTCTTATATAATGACTGATAAATAAATAAATGATTTAAATATAATTGAATATTTATTCAGTGAAAACTTGCATAACATTTATTACAAGAGATGGCAATACATAAGTACACTTTATGGAAATTGCTCCCAGAGCTGTTAAAGAATGAAGTTCATTAATCTTTTCTTTTAAAGCAAACACAGACCCTGCTGATGTTAGAGAAGCTAGTTGTTTTGCAGCATAAATTAGGAGTACTATGCATTGAATGGACTATTAGTCATCATGTCCTTGATTCTTTTGCTCCGGTGCTAGTTTTATCATGTCATCAATACGAAGAATTGTGATTGCTGCTTCAGTTGCAAATTTAAGAGACTTGATTTTGGAAACTGCAGGTTCAAGAACACCAACCTTTTTGTTGTTCCGCACTGTTCCTTCATATAAATCAAGTCCAACCCTTTAAAAGAATAAATACATCTAAAATATGCAATAAATTAATGATGCATTATTAATTTTTTAAAGTTCAGAATGTTCTGAGGGGAAAAAGCCATAAAATTATGATACATATATGAAATAGGCAGGTGATTTTTCTTGTAAATAAAAAAAACATCTGGCTAGTGAGTCAATCCGATTTTTTTTTTTGTTTTTTTAGCTGCTGTATAATATAAAAGGTGCCCTTTTTTACCGTTCATCATTTACTTGTAATATTTAAAGGGAAAAACATGTCAGTAGATAAAGTGCATTTACGACACTGCATTTTATATGAATTCCAAAAAGGAAGCAACGCATCTGTTGCATGTAAAAATTTATGTGCGGTATTTGGAAAAGATATTGTAAATGTTCGTACTTGTCAAAGATGGTTTAGCAAATTTCGTTCTGGGGACCTGAGCCTCAAAGAAAGTGTTCGATCTGGACAACCATCCAAGATCGATAATGATGTTTTGCGATCCATGTTGGAAAATAATCCACATTTAACAAGTCGAGAAATTGCAGAAGAGTTTGGCATTCATCATACAATTGTTGGAGATCACATTAAATCTCTTGGGTTTGTGTTAAAGCAAAGTGTTTGGGTTCCACATGAATTAACGGAAAAGAATTTGTCTGATCGTGTAAGAATATGTTCATCACATCTGATTAGACACAATGTGGAGCCTTTTTTGGACAGGCTGGTTACTGGAGATGAAAAGTGGATTCTTTACGAGAATATTAAAAAAAAAAAAATCTTACTGCAAACCAGGAACATCATCAGCAACAGTTCCAAAACCAAGTATCCATCAACGAAAAGTACTGCTTTGTTTGTGGTGGAACAGGAAAGGTCCAGTGTATTACGACTTGCTGAAACAGGGAAAAAACATCAACGCGGATCTGTACTGCAATCAGCTGGATAAATTGAATGCAGCAATCAAAGAAAAAAGGCCAGCATTAGCGTCCAGAAAAGGAATAGTGTTCCATCACGATAATGCTCGCCCGCATACTGCAGTGGTGACACTACAAAAACTGAATGCGTTAGGATGGGAAATCCTTAGTCATCCCCTGTATTCACCTGACATTGCACCCTCTGATTATTACCTGTTCAGATCTCTGCAAAATTATCTAACAGGGAAAATTTCAAGTCTTTTGAAAGTTGTTTCTAAGGCAGTTGCTGACTATTTTAACTCCATGGATGAGAGCTTCTACTAAACAGGAATTTACAGGTTACCTGGAAAGATGGCAACAGGTTGTAACAAATAACGGAGAATATATAATTGATTAATATTAAACACATATTTTTATAAATGAATTCAAATATTTTCTTTAAAATACGACAGAACTTTCCCTCCAACCCATTATATTGAGCAGCCACCTTAATAAGCAAACACACCTAATGTGTCTTACTAAATCTTATCTAATCTCTGAAAAAGCTTCATTTCTAGAGTACACAGACTACATAAATTTCTAAAATGATTTTAAATACACACAGCCCCAACCATGAAACAACCGTATGCTACTTCATATTTTGACTACAAACAACAGTTTTGACTTCATTCCAAAGAAGGATGAGGTTACAGTACACTGCTCAAAGTTATTCAAAATCTACACTGTATTCTTAAAGTTATGTCAAAATGAATTAAGCTTTGCAGCTAAGAAAATTTGTCTACCATAGAGATAGAAGAAAAAAAGACAAAAAACCATAGAGATAGAAGAAAGTGGACAAAAACAGAGTATGAAGAATTGTTCAATTGGAATTCAGTGAACCTAATGAGTGCCATCAAAACAATCAATTCTCATACTTTGACATGCCACCAGCTCTTCATGTGGTCACTGTACAAAAGTACTACCTTATTTTGACTATTATCATTTCTCTACACAATATTTTGATATAAGTGATTTTTTAAGGAAAGAGAAAATTTAAAACATGAACTTTGAATAGCATATATTGGCAAAAATAATATGACCTGCCAATAAAAAATGATTTTTACTACACAGTCCAGTCACATTTAATATGACCCATCTGTCAAAAGCCAGAATAACCACCTTTCGCAGAGCGGACCTCTGCAAGATGTGCAGGAAGAGAGTCAGGCTCCTGAAGGTATTCATTGGGAAGTTGAGCCATACCCACTCAAGTGTACAGGCCAGCTGCGCTAGGTTAAGCCGTTAAGGATCTATGGTGCAAACAACCTGATCGAGGTTTTACTGCAGAGTCTCAAATGGGTTCAAGTCTGGCGATCTTGCTGGCCAGGGGAGTAAACTCATCCTGGTGCTCTTCAAATCATGCAGGTACATTGCAAGCTATATGGCACTCTGTACTGCTGACAGATGCCATCATTCTGAGGAAAAACAATTTGCATGTATGGGTGGACATGGTCCACAAGGAAGGTGCACATTTCCATTGATTCATCTTGCCCTCTTCAATTATGAGTTCACCCAGAGTGCCACGAAAACATTCCCAGACCATAATGCTCACTTCTCCTGCTTGGACCCCTCCCGGCAATTATGGCAAGGTGTTTGGTTTCCAACATTTTTGCCATATACGTCAACATCCATCTGTCCCGTTGAGCATAAAACCTCATTCATCAGGAAAAGGCCCCTGTCATCACTCAGTAAACATTCAGTTGCTGTGCTGGCTTGCAAATTCCAGCCTTCTTTACCGAAGAACTGCAGTCAGCATAGGTGTGTTAACCAGGCATCTGTTGCGAGACCAATACGGAGGAATGTTCGCCGAACCGTCATTGAGAAGAAACTGTTGGTAGCCCCTAGTTTCATCTGGGTGGTCAGTTGCTCAACGGTAGCACGCCTGTTCACTCGAATGTATATTCGCAGCCGTCGTTCACCTGTGTCATCTATGGCCCATGGTGCACCACATTTGCCACGTCACTCATTTTGGGTAGTACCATTTTGCCATGCATGGTATACTTTTACCATGCCAGCACACAAACAGTTCATAGAATTAGCCGTTTTGGAATTGGTTCTACCCTTGGCTCGAAAGTCAATGATTGTGGCATTTTGGACGTCACATAAATCACTCCATTTCTCTGCATTATGGCAATGACTGCAATGTTTTCTGCGTGTCTCGGCCACCCTTTATATGCGCTCCACTGCAATGACCTGCCTTCTGTGATTGATTAGTTCACATTGACGTTGAAAGTAGGTGGTGGTTACATTACGCAAACAGAAAGAAATTTACAGCAAATTTTTAAGCTCAAATTAATGTATGGAAGAAGGGGACAATCTAAATTTGTTAAATAAAAAAAAACTTTCGAATTAATTTAAACCAACCTTTAGTGAATTTTACCCTCTATACAAATAAGATCTAAGAATTAGAATTTTTTTTATAATTAAATATTTGACAATTCAATTTAAATGCATGTATTTAAAAAAACTTGTTTTATATTTTCCCCTTCCCCCTCTTTATTTTAAGCTTCCAAAATGTTTTAAATCTGTAATACGATCTTAAGTAATTTTCCTTTATCTCTCAGCACTGAAATTCTCAAATATTTTAGCTTTTCATAATGAACTTTATGTGATATTTTCAACAGAGAAGAGAATATATATTAAAAAATAAACCATATGTATAATGTGCTACAATTAAATATAAATTTCCCAATTTAGGAATTGGAGAGATGATACAAATAATTTTAATCCTGACTGATAATTGTAAATGGTGCTGGCATGCTGAATGCATAATGTACAGTAAAAGGACAAAACTTGCAAAGCTTAGATTCAACACATTTTATATATAGATAAAATAATTCTTGAGACGACTACTCCAATTCCCACATCATTACGGTCACAATCTTCATATTTTTGGAAGCTTACTAATATTATGTCTTAAGATATACTATGGATGGAAGAAAGAAATGAACCACATTGTGTTAGCTGAGGCAAGCAAGGGGGAAAGTCCATTCAAAGGAAGCCTGAAAGAGTTCAAATGATTTTGTTTCTTAAAAAAGTTTTGATTTCAATTGAAATCTTATTTTCTGATTGGCTAAAAGGTACCCAATGCAGAGTTATGCAAGACTGAATGATACGAATTAATATGAAATGATGAAGTTTAGAATTGACATATCAAAGGCAGTCAATATTTTTAGGACAGAAACGGTACATATTCCAATTAAAATGAAGATTGTAAGGTTGCTTTTCCCAATTAAAATAATAAATTCGCTTTAAATACTTCTTATCATACATATGTAGGTATATAAAAAGCTAACTGCTATCTGTAATAAATATGAATTTCTTTCTACAAACTACAAAATCTTATTATAATAATATCTTCAAAAGCAGGATATATGGACTACAATATTGCATTTAAGTTTGAATTCTAAATAAGATGTCTTTAAAGCAAAAATGGAAATTGTAACACTAGAATTACGGATGTCTTCATATACCTAGAATTACGGTGGGTGTCATTTTGACCCCTTGATAAGATATCTGCATATTTCTCTATATGATATAATATATTTCTGAAAAAGAAATTAAAATAACACAAAATATGACAACTACAGTTTATTTAAAAAAATATTGATACTTTGCAGGTATGTAGTCAAATAATGAACAAGCATTTAAATATTTTCATCGGAAAATGTTTCCCCTTCCCCCATTTTCTATAGCTTACATTTCAGAAACACAGAAAATAAAATGTATAAATATTTATGCAATTTTTTCCAAAAAGTGGTCTTTAATCCAAATATTAAATTATTTTAAAAAAAGCTTTTTGCTATAAAGAGTAAGTACATAGAAATGTTTTATTTACAGATAATATATTAGTCAGCGCAGCCATTAACACACACACTTATCTTTCTGATTTGATGGTGCTTTCACGGAGTACTTTCTTGCCATTTGATCCAAAACATCTACCCTGAATTTTGTAGAATTGTGAAACTGTATTACATCAGGAACCTTCTTTTCATTAGATTCAAATTCAACAGATGAATGGAGTGTACTTAACAAAATTATGTTTTTGTTCCTTTTCCCTTGATATGATGTAAGTGTTATATAGTCGTGTTTCATCACAACTGAAGAAAAAAGTTCGTTTCTTACATGTTTGAAACTAGAGGGAATTTCTCTTTTTGCGTGATGTACTGTTCCAACATGTAGATGTTCCAACATCCTTTTGATTTTAGGAATTTTGCAAGTTTTACTGATGTAAGGAAACTGTAGTTATATTTCGGCCAGTATTTTTGTAAGGATCAACTAAACGATTTACTACGTTCTCTCCTAAACCTTGATCACTTGGTCTCATTTCATCTTTTCCTAAATATGGAAATCCGTTTAACAAGTATTTTGTCCTAACGTCTACTGCTAGCCAAAATTTTATTCCAAATTTATCAAGCTTGTTAGGCATATACTGCAAAAAACGGCATCTTGTTTTTGTAGGGAATAACTATTCATCAATTGTAATGTTTTCATTTGGTTTGTAGCAAAGCTTACAGTTTTCTATAAAAGTATTCTATACTTCGGATATTAGTGCAAATTTATCACAATGAAAATGTGAAGACCTTGTTAGTTTATTATCAAAACGAAGAAATTTCATTATTTACAGAAGCCTATCTCTTCTCATAGTTTCATGAAAAAACTTTGTTCCCCAAGTCTTGGACCACAAACTAAGAATTGGTAAGCCGTTGGCGGCTAATGCCCCTCTTTGTACAGCAACGCTATAATTGCTTCCAGTTCTGCTAATAAAATAGTGAAAGAGTCATTATGAAGTTTACGCTTGGCTTCAGCATCGGTACACTCCTTTATGACACGTAAACTTTTTCCAGTTATTTAACTTCCATGCACTACCAGAACAAATGTGACGTTTAGCATTGGATGTCGGTCCTGGATTTTCTCGTAAGATATTTTGCAAGGGTTGCCGACCACAAGTATTTGAAGTTCTTTCTACTTTCCATACAGTTCCATCACTAAGCAATTTCTTTAAAGTGTTAGTCTGAATTACATTGAATTTCATATTCCCTTTTGAGCGTCTACTAGTTCCCGCTTTGGCATTCTGAGGTATGGCAGAATTTGAACTCGTAGAAACAAATCCATTAGTATTTTCACTTGAGCTAGAGGATGATATTGCCGGATTACTCTCTATAATAAATTCAGAATCACAAGATGTTTTATCTTCATCTTTATCTGTAGAATTATTTTCAATTTCAGAACCGGAATCGCATCAGATAGTTCTTGCATCGGTTTCCCAATTTCTTCATGCGTTAGTCCTTTTCTACGTGCCATTAGTACATCACTATAATAAATTAATCTAAATAGAATAAAATTTTGCACTAAAATATTAAATTAAATAAATATAAAAAATACTAAAATAAAATAAAAATTTTATGCATAATAAACAAAATATTTATGAAAAAACTACAAATGTTCAGCTCGTAATCTCTTTTCTCTATTTTCTTTCAACAAAGAAAAGTACTACACATATTGCAAATCATGTGACCGGCAGATTTGAAACTACTCAGACCCACCACATTCTTTTCCTTTGTTTGTATTTTGTTTAGCAGGTGCAAATAAAAATAGTTTACAGAAGTAACAGTTTCAGATAATACAATGGAATGTATTCACATTTCTTTTCTCTCAAAGGGGTCAAAATGATACCTGCAGTATTTCTAGGTATAATCATTTGTTAGGGCTAAAATAAAAATATGATTTTCTTGAAATCTTTACTATTTCGTAAATCACAATGATTTAGGAAAAGTCGAAAAAAGACTAAGATATTTGGGAAAAAAAAAAAAAAAAAAAAAAAAAAAAAAAAAGAAGAAGAAGAAGAAGAAGAGCTGTCAGAGATAAAAGTTCGCTACGTGTCAAAATGATCCCTTCCGTAATTCTAGAGTTAAATTAAAATGCAACAAAACCTTTAGCTTTCATTACCATTTTAAATCAGCATGTTCAGGCTTTGTCTGGGAGCTGTTATGATATGCACGCAACTTTGCAACTAGATCACTGGCATCCTTAGCAGCATTCACAGCAAGAGTTTTCGGAATCACAAGAAGACTTTTAGCATACTCAGCAATAGCCAGCTGTTCTCTAGAACTCTAATACAAAAATTTCAAAACAAAGTTAAAAAATAAAATAATCTAAATTTAGCACTGAAAATAGATTATTATAACAAAATAATAATTCCTTAAAATAAAATTATAATAAAGTATTTCAATAGCCAGTTATAAATTTTTAATATAAAATAATTCAACCAAAAAGTAAAATGTTATTTTTCAATCATTTTGTACATGTAAATAAAAAAAAAGTCTTCATTTATAATGAAGCCTTTTTTGTCAATTATAATGCCTTAAACCACTTATTTTTTTTTTTTTTTTTAATTTTAAAATTTGCAAATGAAAATGCCATTGAAAAGGACATAAACATTTTGGGCCAATACAATATTTTGTTAAACAGTCTTTATATTGAAGGTTCATAACAATGCACACTCATTACAGTCTGAAATTCAAGAATATTAATGATATGATTTATATAGAAAGTTATAAGAAGGCAGGATAAATATGCCAACGAGTCAAAAATAAATTGCAGTTTTATAAAATGCATTTTTGCAAAATTCTTGTGCAGCAATTTAATTAGTATGAACTAAATTTTATTTTATGGAACACCATAATAAAGAATATTAAATGAAGCAGTTACTGACTACTTCACTTAACGTTGTTAAATGAAGTTAAATAATGTTAGCTGAAGTTAATTAAGTGAAATTAAATGATGTTACTGCACAGTGCCTGCCCTCTTCAATGAGTGGCGGAGACCTCATGGGCCCTATAAGAGCATGGGGAGGAAGGCCTAAGCCCGCCTCTTTTTCTCCCTTTTCCAACGGCGGGCTGCGATTGTCGAGCATGGAGAGGAAGGCGCACGATCTCCGGATCTCAATCCCATCGAGCTCGCCGGGAATCGAATCCCGCGAACGGGCTATTCCAGAGGTCGGTGGTTCGATTCCCAGCGAAGACAAGAAAGAAAAAGACAGTATGGATAGGGCCTTCTCCGGGATTCGAATCCAGGCCCCCCTTCATGATTTAATTCAAGGCCCTCCCTTGCTGCAGCCACCGGAAGGCCTTTGCCGGGAATCGAACCGCGGACAGGACCTGTGAAAGCGAGGGCAGGCCAAATGAGAAAAGCTGTGCTGCCGGTGTTCTCTCTTTCCTTCAGTGCCCTTCCTTTCGAACATCGCACACGAAAACGTCCCTTCTTTCTGCATGCCTTCGTGGTGTGGTGGTCTCTCAGTAAGTATGCTTCTCTGGAACGGAAGCAATTGTCCCCCCCTCGGTGCTTCATTTTACATTATTAAATAAAGTAGTCAGACAACTAATTCATACTAATCTGATATTTAAAGGCAAAAATACACATTGTTAAGAATTTGCATGCCATGTGAATTCATTTAGCACTTCACTAGCATTTAATCAAGTGATTAATTCAAGTGATAAGGGCAAATTTTTAGAGCTTATTTATAACAGTATTACATTTAATTTAAATAGCAGCAGATTAAAAAAAAAAAAAAATTAACAATCAAAATCTCAACTTACTAAAATTCTTCTTAGTTTATAACATTAAAAATTCTTGAATTTTAATTAGCTTTATTAAAACTTATTAGAAACTCATAAGAAAGGGAGTTAAAATTAATATGAAAAATACTAACCAATGAAGTTGCAAAGTTTTCCAAATAAATAGATAAAGCAGCTTCAACAGCACCTCCCCCAGGAACAACCGTTTTTGATTCCAAAACTCTTTTCACAACACATAATGAATCATGCACTGACCTTTCCATTTCATCAACATAATAGTCATTGGCTCCACGCAAAATGATAGAACTTGCAGAACGAGCTTTAGGCCTATTTAAAAATATTTATCAATAAATTATTGATATGAATTTAGAAAAATATTCTCAACATGATGAAATCCAGATTCATAAACATATTTTTGCGATAGACATTATACTTCAGAAAATTAATTGCGATTTCAGAAAGAATATGTTATATAAGTCTAGTAGAAAAGAATATTTGGGTATAAACTCCAAATCCCTTGCAAAAATATTTCATCATATATTCGATATTATACATTTTTATGGACAGTAATCTTTTATCTTATGCAGTCAACTTGTTCGTCTAAGCTCTCCTCATTCATTTTTTTTTTTTTTTAAATCAACGTATATTAAAAATTCATACAAACTTGCTAAAATACTTGGCCTAACTCTAATTTCCTATGTCCATATTTACACCAAATCCTTTAATACATGCTTATGGTATAATACTGTTATGAAATGTAAAGGCACGGTGAGATGGTTTCCCCGCAAAGCAGTTTTAAGGTTGCCACATTTGGCGACATACCATGGACGAATGGAGAACCTTCTGGAACAAATTTTTACCGGTTTAGCAAGAATGTTCTCGAACACAAGCCAAAAGCTATATAAACCCTGCTGCTCCGCAGTCAGTTAAGAGTGTGTGCGCCTCGTTAGGAGAGCTGATAGTCAGTTTGTATCGAGAGTGTGCCTCGTCTAAAGAGCAAGATAGTTAGTCAGTCCGTGCGGAGTCGATCAAGTTGACAGCCAGGCAACGAGTGCCGAGTGGGTTGTTGAGTTCCCTGAAGGAATCTCTTAGTGTATTGCGGTTAGTGCATCGTCGAGAGAGCGTGTTGAGCTCCAGCAATGACTGAGCCGAAGGGTCGGGAGCCATGCTCTGTGTGTCATTGAGTGCATCGCGACTTGTAGTGTGGAGAGTCTCAAGAGTACATGGAGTTCCAAAAACGACCGAGCAGAGTCGGGAGTTGTACTCTGGCGCTTTGCAGTGAAACTGTCTCCACCATTATTGCCCGACAGTGTGAAGGCTGTAAAATTGTGTTTTGGAGCTGTCCTGACAATACTAACCAATAAAGTGAGTTTCGATACTTCATCAAGTAGTATCATCATTATTCACTCCAAATTCACACGAACTCCATACGAACGTGAAGTAAGAAAATTACATAACAACTGGTGTCAGAAAAAGAAAAACGCAACAATACTACTGCCAACCAGAGCCATGGTTAAATATTTTTTTTTACCCAAGGCAAACAGATAAATGTGCACCTCTATATATTGTTACGAATTTGGTATTTAAAAAGCTAATGTTAGTTCAATTATAAATTAAATGGTTTTATTTCTCGCGCAGTGCAGCGCGTGACGAATATTAAAAGAAAGCTAAGCCGGAAAATTAAAAATACAAGAGCGCGTGCGTTAAATAAATAAATATCTCTTTTTGATTTCGAGAAAGTACTGGAAAATTCTAGCGCGTGATTTTAAAATCTTATAAAAGGAGGAAAACATCTCAGTTTGTAGTAGTTGCTTAGTTTTTGTTGTTGCTTAGAAAACTGCTCTTGTTGATTGTAGCGAATTCGCGGATTAGCGTTCTTTAGCTGTTTTGAATTACGTTCTATTGGACATTTGAGTAGTTAAAAGATAACTACTGTGAGATATTGTAATACTGCATGATAATTTGAGAAAATTTAAGCATTTTTGTTGTGATAATAATAAATTTTTGTTCATTTTTTCATCGGACTTGTGCATTCATTTCATAACGAACCCGTACGCACGCAACAATTTTTGGTGTCAGAAGTGGGATTTGAATGCCAATAACAAGAGCGATGGAAGAGCAATTAAGGCAGTTGATCTCAGCCTCTGCCTCGTTGAAAGAAGATATGAAATCTAATCAGGAAAAGATTGAAGCAGGACAGGAAAAGATTGAAGCAAGACAAGAAGAGATGAAAAGAGAAATTACCTGCATAATAGAAAATAAATTTGAGGTTATAGGAGGCAGAATAGACGCGGTTGAAATTAAAGTTGGACAAATTGAAGAAAAAGTCTTTTCTGTGAAAGAGCAAATAGAAGACAGAGTTTCGGCAGTGGAACAACAAATAGGTTACAGAGTTGATTCTGTCAAAGAAGAAATAGAAGGAAGAGTTTGTTCTGTTCAACAACAAATCGAATCCCAAATTGATGATAGGGTTTCTGCTGCCGTCGCCAAAGAAGTTGACAGCCTAAAGAAGTGCATAGCGATGGCAGGAAGCAATTCTGAAGGTTTTAAATTTCTATCTATGCCTGCTCGCTCCTCTCTGAAACTATGCACATATGATGGGAAGACATCCTGGCAAGTGTATAAAACACAATTTTCTATCGTTTCGGATGCAAATGGTTGGGATTCCCAAACTAAGGCCTGCCATCTCGCCGCTTCTCTGAGAGCAGACGCAGCGGATATCCTGCAGACGCTTCCAGAAAACCAAAGACTTGACTTCGAAGCTTTATCCGGCGCATTGGAGCTGCGCTTTGGCAAGAAATGTTTAAAAGACTACAGCAGGCTTCAATTAAAATCCTGTCAACAGAAGCCCACCGAATCACTCCAGGAAATCGCCACAGATGTTGAAAGGCTGTCCCACCTCGCCTTTACGGAGTGCCCGAGAGAAACGAGGGAAATCCTGTCCCTGCAGTACTTTATCGATGGCATCCGGGATCCCGAAATACAGAAAGGCTCTACGAATGGCGGATGTTAAAGATTTGAAAAAGCGCTTTAGTGTACGCCATGAAATTCGAGGCAGCCCAGCAAGCCACTCGTCGAGACCGCCACCCCGTGAGAGCTGCTCAAGTCCAGCAGCCAGAGAATCAAGTCACTGCTGCTCGTCTAGACGATTTAACTAGACAACTCAACGCTTTGAGACGGAATATTGGTGATAAGAAACCGACCGTTAAGTGCTGGAACTGCTGTGCTGAAGGACACATACGACGAAACTTGCAGAAACACCCCAGGGCACGGATGTTAAGACCGCTCCTAGCAAGCAAGCAGCAGGGAAACTAATTAGTGGCCATCTCGTGGGGCGGAGGTTGCCAGATAATGAAAAGCCCCAGTTTAAAGCGCTTCAGATTTCTGCAGTGAGAGGCGGCAGTAATGGACTTTTTATAATAGGACATATTAATGAAGCTCCCTGCAATATGACAATAGATACAGGAGCCAACGTTACCATCATCCGAAAAGATTTGGCTCAACAATTGGGATGCAAACTTATCTGGACGCCGCCCTGCGTTACCCTCCAGACTGTGTGCGGTGAGAAGATCGATATCGCGGGGAAAGTGAACGTTAATATCAGGTTTGGAAGTGCCGCTTACCATCACATGGCATATGTAGCAGATGTTACAGATCCTTGCATACTCGGATTAGACTTTTTAAGGAAATATAATTTTTCCTTGGACTTTAAAAATAATGCGTAATAAATTCTGCGTCTGAGGAAATAACGTTATTTGGAATTAATAATGAAGAAGTTAAATCTGTCCACAGAATCATAGCACAAGACAATATCACAATACCGGCAAGAACAGAAATTTTACTCCCTGGATCTATAGCCGAAAACAGAGATTTTCACTACGGCATCATAGAATATCCCAATAACTGTAATAGCCCGAAAGGAGTACTAGTAGCCTCAACACTCGTCGACCTATCGAGAATGGTTATTCCTGTGAGAGTTGCCAATGTAACTGAGAAGGCGAGAGTTATTAAGAAAGGCGACGTGGTTGCAGCATGTACTCCAGTAACAAGCGTTGAAAGAAAGAGCAACATCCCAGAACCCGTGTCCTCAGAGAGCATTACATCGGAGTTATTGCAGAATGTGCAATTAAACGACGAAGAGAAGAATGCTGCCGAAGCGTCATTAAAGATCTTCAAGTTGTTTTCTCCCGCTCGTCTTCTGACGTGGGTCGAACTAGTTTGACACAATATAGAATCGATACCGGCGATCATCACCCGATCAAGCAACATCCAAGACGCCTACCGTTTGCTAAACAGGAAGAGGTACGAACACTTTTAAAGATATGGAAGAAAGCGATGTTATCGAGCCTTCAGCAAGTCCATGGGCATCTCCCATCGTTCTTGTCAGAAAGAAAGACGGCTCAACAAGATTTTGCGTTGACTATCGCCGGTTGAATGAGGTTACGAAGAAAGACAGTTACCCTCTTCCTAGAATTGACGACATTTGGACACTCTTTTTGGAAGCAAGTGGTTCTCAACACTTGATTTAAAGAGTGGGTATTGGCAGTAGAAATACCAGCCTGAATGACCGAGAAAAGACGGCATTTACTACGGGACAAGGGCTTTGGCAATTCAAGGTGATGCCGTTTGACTGTGTAATGCGCCGGCAACATTCGAACGTCTTATGGAGACTGTTTTGAAAGGTCCTTTCCTAACGATATAGCCTGTCTGATATACCTGGACGACATCATCATCGTCGGAAAGAGTTTGAAGAACATTTAGAAAATTTAGGAAGGTGCTTCAGAAACTGAAAGAGCCAATCTGAAGCTGAGTCCCGCTAAATGCAAATTGTTCCGAAGGAAGTGACTTACCTGGGACATGTCATCTCTCATTCTCTGCAGAAGGTGTGTGCACGGATCCTGAAAAGGTATCAGCGGTTAAAAAATCCTGGAAACGTCCCTGAAAATGTCCATCAGCTGAGAAGCTTCCTAGGGCTTTTGCACCTACTATAGGAGATTCGTGAAGGACTTTTCTTCCATCGCAAGACCCCTTCACAAGCTGACAGAGAGCAAGCAAACGTTCTTGTGGACAAAAGAAAATGCGAGGATGCATTTAACAACTTAAAGGAGGCTTTAACATCTGCTCCAATCCTGACGTATCCTCAGCTCGACCGACCATTTATTCTTGACACCGACGCGAGCAATGAAAGTGTCGGTGCTGTTTTGTCCCAAGAAATAGACGGCCAAGAACGTGTAGTAGCGTACTGGAGCAAGTGCTGTCTAAACCGGAGAGGAATTACTGTGTCACCAGGAAAGAGGTTGCTCGCCATAGTCAAAGCTGTAGAACAT